GTCATGGTAACGTGAAATAAACAAAAAAAAAACAAAGGAAGTGTTAGACAAAAGGACAATAAAGATGCTAAAAAAGGAAACAAAAGATAAACCACTATATGAATTTAATTGTCTCGATTACTTGGTAATCGAGACAATTATACTACACAACTCGCCGAGAAAAGTTACCGATTATTAAACTTATAAACAATAAAGTTAGAAAGTGAATGGTTAGGTAGGTTAAAGTGACGGGAAACAGGCTTATCAAGATCGTTACGGCGAATATTATAAAGATGTTCACGAATACTATCGCCCAGACGACGGCCAGTCTCACCGACATACAATAAATTACAAAGCGAACATTTAATACAATAGACAATATTAGAGGTGGTACATTCAAAATGATCAGTGATTCTGAGTTAAGAGCTAGGATCGACAATGGAATTGTGCGAGACATTGTACGGACAAGTGTTACAACGCTTACGTGAGCAACTGAAAGTGCCAGGATTGTTATTAGAATGAAGAACACCTTTGACTAGGAAAGAACGAAGGTTACGATATCACGTTTATTAGAGAAGAGGGGTCGGTCGTTAAAGGGACACTGTCAATGGCGCGCATGCGCGAGTAAACTTGAAAACACTATAGGCTAGTGTTTTCAAGTTTATGACTCCAAGTTGGCGCGACATAACAGGACATAAATCAGCTCGTAAACGTAAACAGATCTAGAATATTCCAAAGTGTGTCAAAAGCACCATAAAATTATTTACCTCGAAGGTAATACTTTCAAAGTCCGTTAGAGGTGAGACTGTTACTGCGCATGTCATCCATTGACAGTGTCCCTTTAAAGATGTGAGAAGTGTTAGTATCAGAAGTGAGTGAAAAGTAATTACGATTGGTAATAGGCTTAACAGAACTGTTAATAGGATGATACGTAAGAGTGAAAGGAATACGGTTATTAGGCGCACGAACCTTAGGTGTGAGAGCAGTATTACGATCAATACGAGAGACTTTACGCAGAGATTGATCAATGACATGTGGAGGATAGTTACGATTAAGAAAAAGGAACGCATATCCATGCATTTGTTAGAAAAGTCATTATCGTCGCTACATAAGCCTACTGATTCTCACTCTTATCCCCTCTATTCTTCTTCTCACCTCAAGCATACTCTCAATGCCATTCCTTTCTCTCAATTTCTACGTCTCCGTCGCTCTACTTCAGTGACAAATTGCGCAATGGGTATCTTCCTAGGCGCTGGTGCAAAATTCAACCCTTTAGATACCAATGATTTTTTCAGCATCAGTGAGAGGTGTGTCGGATAGATTTCTAAATAGATAGATTTCTCTGAATATATCAAGAAATCAGTCAAGATGTTTTACTTGTTCTTCCCTGCCGGTTAGCAAAGATAAGTTTTACATCTTTGGGAAAACAAGCACAGATAAAAATAAAATTATATCATTTAAAATTATAAAAGACTCATTGCAAATTTACGTAACCACGTATCCTGTGGGCTCAGTCTCCAGCCGTCGGGATTTTGTGCGCCCGCGATACTCTCTCCCCTGACGGCTGGGCGCATGGGGTTCGAAACGTGTCGCGCATGTCCGTGACGCTTTTGTGTAATTAGCATATTATGAATAACGGAAGTGAATTTTTCAGTGAACGGAAGTGAAATATCTGACAACAGCCGTATTAAAAGGTTTTGCTACAAGGAAATTATGTGAAATGAAAACTTCGCGAAGTGGCGATATAATGTAATAGTTAGCGCTTTAAAAAAGAGAAAGGAATGGAAATTATACCAAGTAAAACATGTGTAGGGTTTAATAATCCAAATGTATATATTATCTGCCAGAAAGACGAGCAAAATACACTAGTGGCGCTGTTTGAAAAATAAGAGATTTGCCCGAGCCAGTAGGAAGAATAACAAGGACATCTTTTCCAAGAACAATCTCTTTAAGAGCCTTTTGCTGTATTTCTCTAAATTCGTCCAAAGTAAACGACTTCAGAGCGTTCAAACGAGAATCTCAAACGACGAATTGTCCGCCATTTTGTTACATTGCGACGACGGCTGCCTGCTAATTTATTAATGATATGCCCCTGAAAATATCGAGGGCCACTCGCTGATTGGTCGAGACTGACAATAGCGAACCCATGCGCCCAGCCGTCAGGGGAGAGAGTATCGCGGGCGCACGAAATCACGACGGCTGGAGACTGAGCCTACGTATCCTGCCGATGCAGATTTTTTTGTCTGTAGACAATGTTTTCAAAGCTTGAATAATACGATCGCGCTTCAAAAAAACTAGAAGAAACACGGAAAGAGCTTGATTAGCCTTTTGTTCAGAGTGCCATATGTCAACATCAAGAGCTGCGAAGTGTCCTGGACGTTTCGTTGAATCATCAAGAACTTTAAGTAAAGCTTGAAAAATCAAGGATTTACCGAAACCAGTAGGTAAATTAACAAACACATCTCAATTTTCATCTATAAGTTTTTTAATGGGAAGCTTCTGGGGGCAATTTAAGCACGATATCTTGAATTTTTGAGCAGCAAACACAAAACTATCCGCGATGTCACCCGCCACGTTTAGTATGATCGCACTTACAATACGCGAGTTCCTATTGTTCAATAATTTTGTCGGGATCAGCTGCAAGGAAATGAAAGCCGAACTGTGATTGGAGAAACGATTAAAGCTCGGATTGAAGCAGCCGTTTGTGGGGCGGGGGACAGGGAGCCAGCCACTAAGAACGGCTGCGAGGAGACTAACTCTAGCTGAACGGACGCAGTTGAGACCTACAGAAATATCATCACTCCTGTCGTTCTGCTTAAGTGCAACTGACTTGCAATTCAAGGGGCAATACTACAGTCAGATACATGGAACTGCCATGGGCTCCCCAGTTTCATGGAAGTGTTAGAAAACAAGGCACTTACAACGTTCCTCACATCGCCTAGGATTTTCAAAAGGTACATGGATGACACCATTTTCGTCATTCTTAAGGAAGCCATTGAATATTTGCAAATTCTGTTTATAACGGTCTTCGAGCCATGGTTGTTTTTCAACACTTCAGCAAAACATTTTTCTCTTGTCGCTGATGAATCAATAATGGTTCAACTGATTCGCACGTGAAGTTCTTCTGTTCTTTTCAAGATACGTCTTTTGCCATCGAGAACATTTCACATATTTCACTGTCATTGTTTGGTGTTGATGTCTTGAATTCTATTCTCTTTTCGCCAGATTGTTTTTCTTCCAAAATCAACTTTGCAAACTTCTTGTTGAGATTTCTCACCAGACTTCAAGACACCACTTTCCATATTCTTTTCCATTTCTCAACTTCATCTCTTTTTTGTGACAGTTTTTTTGCGATGGGGCTCCATGACCGATGTTCTTTTTTAAATTCGCTCAAAGACGGAGGATTAATTTGAAAACTGGAATGGACGCGCAATCATTCTACTTTGAATTGGAATGGACGCTTTCATCGTTCACTGACTCTCATTGGTCGCGGAACACAACATTAAGCGTTGTTACAGACGCCGTCACGGCGGATTAACAGACGCTCGGCCGTTATGGATCTCGCTTTCTCATTGGTCGCGGAACATAGCATTAATCGTTGTTACAGACGCCGTCACGGCGGATTAACAGACGCTCGCTCTTTATTGGTCGCGAGGCGCTTCGTCGCTTCTCATTGGTTGCTCCTCAGCTCCCTCGCTCCTGATGGCGTACAAATCCCATTTGTATACTACTATCGGTCATGGATCTAAGTATTGAGTATTTTGGATAAGCTTTGGCGTTTTCCCGACGTCTTTTCTATAAACATCGAAAGTATGCCATCAAACAGAGAGCTTTTTTTCTTAAAAAGCATTGAGTTTTTGGTGATTTTAGATCAATTATGCTCTAGATTATGGACAAAAGAAACCGAAATTGTCAGATTGACAGAAATGTGGGTCAAGATGGCGAGGTGCATGCGTTTTAACTCGCAAAAAAGTAAACAAAACGGCTTCCAATTTCTATAAGAAAATGTATGGCCAAGAATATTCTTCAGTATTTGTGGACAAAACGAAGCATTATGTACTCGTTGCGCGACTAAAATGATCAAAATATAGTTCAATCTTTGTACTCACGGCACCAACGGTTAACAATAAACAGCAGATTTCCTTCCTGGGCAGTTTGCTTTATTGGTCCTTAAGACTTCAGATCTCTCATACATTTTCACTAGAATCGTCCAAGGCCCATGTACATATCAGCCCATTTGAGGTAGAAGAACATCCTTTTCGAAAAGTGCGCGACTTCGAGTCAACACAACATTGTTTCAACTGTCTAAATCGCCAGAAGAAAACGCTGAATCGCTTGTCAATTTTCTTCCTGAAGACGCTAAACTTTGCAAATATTTGCCTCGGACATAAACCGCCATTTTGTTTTCCAGCTTTGAGTCAGAAATTATTGAATGAAGAAACTCTCTCACGAAGAATTCTTGTTCCGGCATTTTACAGAATATCAACTCCCAGCGCTTTCTGGTATTGTACACAGGGCTTCCAATCACATTTAAGTTCAAATGTTTTTTATGCTTTTTCGCCTTGTAAAATTCTAAACATTAGGTTAATTTTGTGTTTCTGGACATTACGGGTCCCTTCATAAAAAGGAACTTTCTAATTCTGCTATTACGAAATATAAATCACAATAATAACGCAATTGTACAACGAAAATGAAATGTTTTGATCAAATCTATTATTTTATATATAAAATCGTCAATATCTGAGCCGAAGAAAACCGCTGGTCAATGACCCAAATTTCTGGCAATTTCTTCCTTGAAGTTTGATTTTTTGAATAAAAAACTTGACGTAATTAGCCGCCATATTTTTTTGTATGGCGGGATGCCACTGCCCACTATGACCGAGCTCTGGAAAACTTATTTCCGCGGTGTCGAGTAAGGGAGAGAGAGAGGGAGGGATTGAAGTAAAGATCCTAGTTCCTCACTATCATCATTGCCCACCAGATTCTCTAAGTTTATTTTTTATTTTTTTAAATTACCACAGGGTAATATCAAAATGAGTGGTATCAGTAAGTTGACAATGATAACTCGAAAAATTTCCTTCATGGAAGGCAGTAAGTTGGACCTCAGAGCTCCTACCTTATTACAAGATCTAAAGACTCCTTCAACTCCCGGGGCTAATGGAAAGGATGGTTTGAATGGAGTGGATGGTCCGTCAGGTATACGATACTCTAGCTATAACAATGTTCAATAGGCCTTTTTCACGTTCAAAGCGAGCAACCGCTGCTTTAGTTCACAAAAGTCTCTCATGCGCAAAGAACTTACCAAAAAAAGAAAGCACGAACAAATTTTATCATTACAATAGCCCTATGAATTTGAATTTTCTCTGATTCTGTATTCCCAGAAGGTTCAAACTTTTGCTCAGCCTAAGCCTCAAATAGGTGAAGAATTAAATTTCTAGAGCTATTGTAATGTAAACATTTTTTCGTGCTTTATTTTGTTCTATAAGCAATTGAGTCTGTTGTCTACTAAAACAGCCGTCGCACGCATTGTATTGGAAAAAGTCTTATTCTCTCTTGCATATTTGATAATACATTATTTTACTATAGTTGAAGTTTACGCTGATGTATCTGTCGGAAATCTTCAAATCGACGCCAGCGGTGGAAATGGAAACAAGGGTCAGGATGGCGCCAATGGGAGGATAGGCGCAGACAGTCAAAACAGGGTAACGAGATCTTAATAAAGCCGTTTTTTGTTTGTTTGTATCTTATTTATTTGTTTGTTTTTATTGTTATTTTTAAATAAGTTTTAACTAGTTGACATAAAACTCGCTCTTTGAGATAAAGATAGATAGTTGTATTACCTTTCCTTACATGTCTATACGGCTGGCATGGTTATAAAATGTGAGCGCAATTTTTGTCCACGTTAGGTTTTTAACAAGTGCTCGGCGATTTCCTCATGACTTCACATCAAATATGACAACTTTGCTCCCTTTAAAACCACACGGTCGTTCAAGGAGATGAGAGTCGTGAACATTTTTGCTATTTGGGGCATGAAAAAATACGGTAATATAGTGCAAGCACAGGTTTTCGCACGTTCGGTTTTATCCGAGCGCTCGGCGATCCCCACGAGTACTTTGCATGGACTGGGACAACTTTGCTCCTGTTAAAACCACATGGTATGATGGCGCTTGTATATAATATTTTCGCTGTTTTGGGGCATGAAGAAAAAAACGAGTGAATATTTCGAGAGAATTAATTTCGAGCAAAAATTTACAGTGAATCTTCTATCGTGAATCAAGAGCGAAAACGTTTGAGTGAACCCTCTTAATATCTTAGCAAAATGACAAGCATTATTGGTATCAGGAAATTGAGCTAAATTAGATAGTAAACTGTATAAACAATTAGTATATACATTCACAACCTCATAAGAACACGCGCTCTCATTGGCTTGCTATACAAGACCATATTCACTGATTTAGCTCAGAATATTGATTCTCGGCAAAATGGCATCTCGTTTTGCAGAAATTACTGATGAAGAAAGTGAAAAAACGCAAATCCACTAAACACAGAGAAAGCTATACAATTTAAATGCATTTTTAACATGAGAAAGTATTTCAATTCACAGAACAAGCGTCAGAAAAAGCCATTTTTGTGGCTACTGCCTCCGAACGAGGCTCAAGCCAGTATGCTATCGCCTTGTAAGTGCGTGATATGAATGTAATTTGGGATAACTTCGTGACTGGCCGCTTTTATTTTGGTGCATTTTCGTTATTGTTCGGATACATCTTCCATAATAGTTGGGCTTCTTGTGTAATTACGTCATAAACAGTGTGATGATGTCACAACTAATCCTGCTTACCCCTCCCCTCACAATGATCTACAAATTACCTAAACCACCCCTCCCTTGCTAATCTCTTGTCCACATGCACGCTTGGCTATCCCGATACTCATTAGGGCGCCCATCCAATATATACAAAGAAATGACTGACTTTTCATCCATGTGGGATGTCATGTAAAATCTTTTTTCTTTCTATTAAAGGAAGCCTACTGAGTCTACACATGATCAAAATAAAATCTTATAATATTAACTTATATCTAGATCTACAGCCTTTTGCACAAATTATGAGACATTTATATATATATAAATATACCTAACCAAATATCAAAAACACCCAAGAAATTATGGGATACCGTCGCTGATATTTTGTCTGTAACAACCTGATGCTAGGCAATCATGACAAAATATAATAGAGATATACCATAATTTCTGGGGTGTTTTTGATATTTGGTTAGGTATATTTATATATATAAAAATGTCTCATAATTTGTGCAAAAGGCTGTATATAAAAATGTCTCATAATTTGTGCAAAAGGCTGTATAGATCTATAGATCTATATATAGTTATAAAGTGTACCAATGATTTGAATTTTGAGTTTTTATATAGACAATCAAAGACCGAATGCATGGAATATGAGTAATGACACCAGACTAAATTACATAAATATAGGATATTAAAATATTTTTACATTTTCATTGTCTCCCTATCATTATCTTTGCTTATAAAACAAAATTCCAAATTTTTTTCGAGCGCATTTATCAAGGATAATTAGCTTATAAAAAGTGTTAACAATCGTTCACGAGCAGTTCTAGGTTATCGGAAATTACGATAACTGAAAAATTATTGCAATAAAGATTAAGCCTTGCTAAATCATATCAGCGTTTATAAGTAGGGAATACTCCCGAAACAGATATAAGAATTCCAAGACTCACTGGATGAAACGACTTATCAGGCAAAATGAATCATTCTTTGACTTCGATGATACCATGCAGAAACCCCTTATGAGTTTCTGATGATACTTTATCCAACGGCGATTTCTTATTGATCGCGATCGACTGCTGGTCTAGGTTATAAATCGTTCAACTGCTGGTTTTCTTGACATCAGGTGCATATTATTTCTTCGCTTCAGCATCCATGCAGATTTTCATTTTGTTGTTGTAGTCACTAGTAATTATCAGTCTTGATTTGACCAGGATTTGGCTATTAGTGAAGCGAGACGAGTCGAATACCTGAACAGATCAGCCTATTCCAAAAATTACACTCGACATCTACTAGTGCCATGGACCGCGGAGCAGGGGGGGGGGGATTGGGGGGCTACAGTCCCCCCCCTCTTCCCAATAATTTTTACCGACATTTTGAATTTTCTTAACCCTCTGGCGACTACCCTATAGAATATCGTTCGAATTTGAAAGATGCGTCTAAAATTGATAGTTAACTATATTTATTGCGAACTCACTAGTAAATATTGTCGATCGTAAAGTGCAAAGAATTTCCCAACGAGGTAACAAAAGGCACAAAACAATACTCTGCTTACAAGTGAATGCCAAAATTTGCGTTTGGAGGACTGCAGGAAACACTAATTTCCAGCTCAATTTTTAGCGTCAAAATATGTTCTCCTAGCAAAAACTCCACTTCACTCGCAACGCCTTTGATAGCACGTCCTCATTTTGCCGTGTTTATTCTGTCAAAGTCACTGCAGACCTCTCAACAGTCCTCTTTTGAGCACCCGGTACAATAAACTCCTATGCACGACCGAAATCCATCACGGGAAGTGACAAAATTTGGACATAAATCTTGCAGCATTCTTCTCTTAAGAATTACTTTATAAGTGTGAGCTCCCCCGCACCTACAGGCAAAATATTGGTCCAATTGCATTCTTTGGTTGTCAAATATTGCCAAAATTACCTTGGTAGGTTGGAAAATCTGCCACAGATGGAACAGGAAAGCGATCTTACAATGGTGTCTCTAGTTCAAAATAAACCGTGACTTGGAGCCATTGTCTTCGAAAAATCGCTTTCCACCTCTGATTTCTTCCAGAAGATCGTCTCTGCCGACTAGTCAAGCTTAATGATGCAAACCTAGGGGCTCCTGTGGCAGCAAAAAGCTCAAAAAACACTTTAAAAACAAACGATCCGACCTAAATTTACAAAGAGTTGCATAAATTAACGCTCCCTAGTGAATTCAAATCGTCCGCTTGTGTCCGGTGAGAGTTGAAAAACACTCGAGAAGCAAGACAAACACTCGCTTGTCTCGTGTTCCTAATCTCGCTTCTCTCGTGTTTTTCGAACTCCCACCGTGTTTATATCAGAGGACACAAACACGCGCGTCGTTTTATATTTCTTAAATAATATATACGACAGAAGAGAATTTAATGAGCTTCAACAATTCGCTTATATTATGCGTCCAGCTGAAAAATCTTGAAAGTCACAAACATCTAATAATATAGCACATATCGATAACTGCTACGGTGCTGACTGTATCACGCCATGTCCTCTAAATAGTGTCTTTCACAAGCATTTATCTGGAATTTTACGGAGACCAGTTTCGTAAGGATTGAAAAGGCTGAATAAAGCAGGAGGAGCCGACGGGGTCTGTTCTTCTAAAACTATTCTTGTACGATTTTTTTTCCTGGGAAATGGATTTTGAGGTACATTGTTGACAATCTCACAAGCAAATGTGCCGCCCTTCCTTCTTTAAAATAATTTTGTTCCTGGCAATATATTTTTCTTAGTTAGGGAATTTTTATTTTCCTGGCAAGAGTTCTTAGACAGTATTCCTTGACTTGAGAGTTCTTTTTTCCTGAATTTCTTGCTGGCAACCAGTTTTAACTTACAGGCTGGCTGGGACATAAGAGCAGATATATTCTCCCAGGAAACCGTCGGCTCCTACTAAATAAAGCGAAACAGGTCTCCGTAAAATTCCAGTTAAATTCTTGTGAAAGACAGGAGAACGAAAGAAACTTACAACATTGTTCGCATTTATACTAGAAGACGGCTAAGACGTCTAGATGACCTTAACAGTTAACCATAAGGGCGTCTAGTATAAAATCGTGATGAGCTTAGTGAAATCTCAGAGGGGTCTGCGTGCGAGTATGACATCATAAGCGCAGGAATTCGATAGTTACTTTTTTGTTTTTTGTTGGCAAGGGTGTCTGTTTTTGGTCGTCTCGACTTAATGCCTGACGGCCAAGCCCTTTGGTCAACGGTTAGGGCATCGTTTCGATGTCCTTAATTTTAGACGTCTAAGTCGTCAGCATTTTTTTTTCGATTTTATACTTAAAGTTTAGGACATCTTGATCTTTGGAGCCTGAGGTCATCTAGACGTCTTAGCCGTTGCTAGTATAAAAACGGTCATTATTTACACAACATGAGATTTTCAAGGTCTTTCGAAATCAAAGTAAGAAACATTTCAATGTTAAGATACCTTTGCAGCCAAAAGGCTAAGAACGGCATATTACAAATATCAAACATATCTGTTTACATGATTTTGTTTATAGTTTGGTGCTTAAATTGACTTTGTGATTTAATATTATCTTAGGTCTAGAAATATATTAACACAGCGGAAACAGTAATAAATTTTTTTTGACATAATAATATTGTTAAATAGTTGAGTATGTAAATTTGTTTTCATTTGTTTTATCAGAGCAAAAGTGCTGTTATGTCATCGTCATATCAATAGTACTGATTTATGAATCTAATGCTTGCACTCAACAAAAGGCATTTTCTAGCATTAAACTATAAGATTTTTTTATTATTTATCTAAGATTTTTTGGCTTAAATCGCATTAAATCGCTTTAAGTAGCACTAAAACGCCTTAAAATTTTAGTCGAAACCAGGSMWWATTYTCTTAAATCGCCTTAAACYGYCTTAAAATGCCATATGTCGC